GCGGGGCTCGGGACGCGGTGGAGAAGGGCGGGAGGGTCTGGCTGGGCAACGCGGCTTCCCCGGGGCCGCCCCCGCCCTCCCCGCAGAGTCATTTCCCACCCGACGCCGCACTCACCCGCGCGGGTCCGGGTCGGGGCCAGGGCGGCCGCCAGCAGCAGGAGCAGCGTACGCGGAGCCATCGCCCCCATCTCGGATCTGGGGCGTCTGACTTCCGCGTTCTGCCTGGACTTGATGACCCGATACCGCGGCGACGCTGATTGGTTCTCCGGGATCTCGGCACCCAATGGGGGTGAGAACAGGACACTTGTCATCAGTGTCCGGGCAGAAGGACCCGACACAGGTCAGGAGCTGGAGAAGTGAAACTGGGCACCTGGGGATCCCCAGCCCTGGGCTTCCACCCCAGACCTCACCGCCTGGGACTGAGACTTTGCTGAACCCTGTGCTGCGTGACGGAGCGCTGTGTGTCATGGTGTCTCTGAGCTGCCTGAGGACAACTGTCTCCTCAGGTTAGTCAGGATGAAACCTAAGAGCACGGAGTTTCCAGATAAAATACACACAGCACTTGAAATGAGTGTTCACGGAAACAGGTGCTGTCGGAGTCCTGGTGAGGGTGTGGGGCTGCCGTGGACACCTGCATCGGGAGGTGCCTGGAGTTTTCACAGCTCTGGTCAAGCACTTTTGACCCTGTGTTATCTGTGACTCTCCGTGCTGGAATCCCACTCACCTCTGCTTTCACTTTCTACTTCTGTTATGTGTGGCTGGGATTTGAAGACATCAAGTCAAAATTGACAGAAAGAGAAGATTTATAAATTTAATTTTTCTCCACACTATTGAACAGATGAAACCTCAAATCCCCAGTGTGTACCTCTGTCATGAGAATTACCTCTGCCCAGTGTCCACACTGCACAGGCCTGAGGAACTCAGGAGCCAACTGTTACCAGATCCAGGGTCCCACAGGCCTGTGACATTCATCTCCCTGATCTCATCAACTCATAAACTGTGAGTGAAGGTTGTAACTTGTCTTTCTCTATCCCACCAGCAAGCTCACAAATCATGACATGGAGACTTATTATTAATTATGAAAGCTCACTCTATAGATTAGGCTTTTTTCTAATTAGTTCTTATAACTTAAATTCACCCATATATTTTAATCTACATTCTTTTTCCTGGCTTGGTTACCTTTACCTTATAAAGCCCATGCCGCTTGCTCTGCATCCCTGGCGGCTCCTACATTTCATGCTTCTTCAGAGTCTGCTGATGACTCTGCCCTTCTTCTTCCAGAGTCCTCTGGGCTGGAAATCCTGCCTCACTTTTGGCTGTTCAGCTTTTTTTTTTTTTAAGATTTATTTATTTATTATGTATACAGCATGTATGACTGAAGGCCAGAAGAGGGCACCAGATCTGATTACGGATGGTTGTGAGCCACCATGTGGTTGCTGGGAATTGAACTCAGGACCTCTGGAAGAGCAGTCAGTACTCTTAACCTCTGAGCTATCTCTCCAGCCTCTGTTCAGGTTTTTATTAGACCAATGAGAGTGACACTTATTCACAGAATACAAAAAGATTATTCTACAACATTTTCCCCTTTTTGTCTAAATTAAAAGGGAAGGTTTTAGATAACAACTAAGACTAATTACCATATAAGAAAAACATTTACAATGTCCATTTCATTAATATTTGGCAAACTTAGAGGAAAACATTCCATTATCTATCTTCTCTTGATGAATCCAAAGTTTTGTTCCTAATTTACTTTCTGTCATGACTAAGGGAAATTGTAACTATATCTATCTAGTCTTCAACTCCATCAGAGACCTGAGAAGCATATAATATTACCTGAGTAAACAGGAAGTGCTGAGCAAGCAACTTCCAAACGATGAAATGACAGAGACATCTGGCTGCCTGGTCAGTCACTCCAGGGTTCTTCTGTAATGCTAGGACATCCATCTTCAGCCTACAGGTCCAGATTATCTGACAGACTTTTCTGTGAAGCAGGAATTTCTGAAGGACTGTCCCACCTTGTCTTGGCAAAGTTCAGCCATCGTCTTCCTTTGTGTCCTGCTTGTCCAGTTTGTACAGCACACTGTCAGTAGTTAAAACAAGACCAGTTTCTTACCAAAATGGCTATTCTTGCTCTAAGTGGACGTTTCTGTGTCCAGCCAAAAACTTTCAAATACCCAGCAGCCACTTCCCAAACAATTGACTCAGAGGCCAGCACTCGGGGCCAGAGGCAGGTGGATCTTTGTGAGTTTGAGGCCTGCCTGGTCTATAGAGCGAGATCCAGGAAAGGTGCAAAGCTACACAGAGAAAACCTGTCTCGAAAAACCAAAAAAAAAATTAATATTACTTATGAATGCTTGGCCGGTAACTCAGGTTTATCACTAACTAGCTCTTACATTTAAATTAACCCATAATTCTTATCTATGTTTAGCCACGGGGCTTGGTACCATTCTCAGTCAGACATTCTCATCTTGCTTCCTCTGCATCTGGCTGGTGAGTCCTGACTCCACCCTTCCTCTTCTCAGAATTCTCCTAGTCTGCCCACCCTGCCTATACTTACTGCCTGGCTGCTGGCCAATCAGCATTTTATTAAACCAATCAAATAAGAAATCTTTACAGTGTACAAGAGCATTATCCCACAGCTCTTGCCACCGTGAAAGCAAACTCTATATGGAGTTTCTTCGATACCCATCGTCTTCTGTGAAGTGAATTGGTTCTGCCAGGAACAGATGTATCTCATTGTCATGAAAAAGGTTAAGTTATTATAACATTTTAAATGTCATATTCTGTAGGTCTTTAAAGTGTTTCAAGATCAGCTATCTATCTAAAACACAACTCTGTAAGACCTTGAAAGCACACCTACCATGACCATAAGTTTGATTGTTATGATGACTAAGTTAAGGCATTCCTAAAGTATATAGGTTGGTTTAATTCAGGAGTCCCTTCCACAGTCCAGTGTCTCTCAGCTGCTGTAGTTTGTTCATTAGCAATCAAAAAATTCAAAATTAATAAAGTACCATATGACTCCTTGTGTTATAATATTTCCCATCTTTACATGGCTTATTCTTTTTTTATTACTCCTCTCTTTAAAGACTTTGGATTTGAAAACTGCTTATTTTTTTCTTTTTTTTAATTTAATTTAATTTTATTTTATTTTACAATACCATTCAGTTCTACATATCAGCCACGAGTTCCCCTATTCTCCCCCCTCCCACACCCTCCCCTTACCCCCATGTTTCCCCTCATTCCCACCTCCTCCAGGGCAAATCCTCCCCCGAGGACTG